ACATTTTGAAAGTATGTAGGATTCACTTGCATTAGAAAATACACACAGTATTTCTGTACGTGTCAGTTGTTTTCCATAGGCAAAGGTTCAAAGCTTATAATGGTATTCCCCACACACCTGTAAGATGCAGTGGCCAAGATGCTTATGTATTGGTAATTAAATACAAAGTAATCCAAGAACAAAAAGGTAACAAGCAATACACAGTATGTAATCCAATACTGGCACATTCAAGTGATGGAAATCTCTGGAGTCTCTCATTTCAGCTGATTTATACCTCCCACTTCATTGTTATGTTAGAAACCATTCACATGATTTTACTCTTAAAAATCTTCCGTTTCTTTGACAAAGCCAATAAAAAACCTTCTTGCTCTACGTTTTCTTGCCCAGAACACTCTAAGCATTGGAAGTGTCTGTTAATATGTTTTACATAACCTTGAAATAAACCTGTTCTAAAATTTCACTCAATGGAAAAACAATCTATCAGTAACTAAAATTGTTTTAATTTTATGAAGGGAAAATAAATATATGGCCTGTAGACTGAAACACTCCTATTTTTCTACTAGGATTAATTCATCTAAATATTACACATGAGATTAGGCACTGCTGGTTGCAGTTTTCAAAAATAGTTTGTGAGTACTAGTATTGGCTTTGTTGATAACTACAGGCACATTATGAGATTGCAGTGCACTCTAAGAAGGAGCAATTGGCAAGGTCACCAGTCTAGAAAAAAATGCAGCTGCTGTACCAAGGACACCATCTGAAGGAATACCTGAGCTAAAATGAAACACATGCGTCTACTCTACAGCTATTTTCTGCAGGGCACAAAACATACGAGTGACCTTGTCAGCAAGATCCCTGGCCCTGCAGATAGCAGGGGCTGGCTGTGACAGAGCTGCATGGGGAGTTCAGTGTTAATTGCCGCATGAGACATCCAGTTTAAACTTCTGTGAGCTACTGCTGCCTGACCTTGTAAGTGTGATTCTGCTTTGGAGCAAGAACAAAACCGTGTCCTGACAGAAGCTGATGTCTACATCTCAATCACGTTCTGTTGAAGCTGTTCTGTTTTGCCTGTAGGTCCCAGGCTGGGAGAAAGGCAAAATGACGGGGCACTTTCTGGGGAAATTGTCTGATTTGACTATTTGAACTATGGCCAAAGACACCTCTTGGACGTCTCGTTCTCAGGCGGTGGGAAACCCTTCTTCTGTCTGAGCCACAGGAGAGCCTCTACCACAGATGCTCCTCGCCTTGAACAGTGCTTGGTTTTCTGGTGAGGTCACAGTGTTGTGTTGCGCTTTAATCTGGGAGGATGCACATATGAACCCCTCCTGAGCTCTTCCACCAAAGCCAGTCTGCTCTGTGCATCTCCCAGGCGTGAAGCAGATAATTGGGGCTGTACCCCGCAGCCGTCCCATCTTCCTGCTGGGCACATGTAAAGGGCTTTGGCAGGAGGGCAGGAGACAAGCCCACCCTTGTGACTCCCCACAGTCTGGTGGGACAGGTGCACCTGCAGTTCGAAAGCCTGCTCCAAACCAAGTAGGAGTTGAACGCCAGGCTCCTTCTGATTACCCTACACAATGTTAGCAGTTCTGCTTTTTTTTTTTTTTTGGTAAGGAAAGGTTGATTTTGGTAAGGGGTCTCACAGGTGGGAATGCTGAGTGGAATTACTGTGTGGCCTGAACTACCTTTGAGGATGGGGATGAAGACACACAGGTCTTCTCCTGAGCATTTTCTGCTAATAAAGTGAGGGCCGCTGGCAGACGCCTGTGAGACCTCATGGCGTGTAACACATGAGACAGGAAACCCGACTGAATTCAGGCTGCGGTTAGCACTAGTCAGGAGGACACCTAGAAAAAAAGGTATTGCAGTTGAACCAGCTCGAAGCACCTTCGGGGGAGAATGAAGCCCGTGTGACCCTATGGATGGTCCATGTGCTCACCACATTTTAGCACTGGAATTGTAAATGCTAGAGCCCTCATTCAAGGCAACGTTTCTGCTAACAGCCAGGGCAAATAAGTGAGGACTCTCCTATTGCTGAGGCAGACTAGTGTGCATTGGGGCATCTCCATGGAAAGGCCAAGCAGCGCTTTACTACCACTGTCCTGGGGTAACGGTGGGGTCTCCGTCCTCTTCTCACATGCCCTTTAATTTGTCCTCACCTCTTGTGGACCTGTGTTTTATACGCAATCGCAGAACTAAGCTGATTTCAATGGGGTTTGAGCTTTGCTTGTGCAGTGGGCAGGGAAACAAGTAAAAGATGGAGAATTCCCGTTTAATATCCTACACAGGCATCTATCCTGTGCACATCTTGGAAGAGTTTGGCAAAACTGACTGAAGTACTGGGAAAATGTTTCCCTATCTGAAATAATGAAAAGCAAATACAATTTCTCTCTGTCAAGCTTGTAAGCGCTAGCTAAAAAGTGTTTTCCACCATCGAAAAATATGAGGAACTTGGAATGTATTTCTTTACTGTACTGCGTACTTCCACAAAGAATCTTCTTTGTCTCTCAAAAATGCAAATCTTTTGTGGATTCCTAAGCTGAGTGTTAAAAAAAATTATTATAAGATTTTAATTTATTTTTTAAGATTGAGGTATAGCACTTTCAGAGACCAAATGCTGTTCTGAGATGCACTACTGGTTTCAGTAGGGTTGCTTCGTTTTGCCTGAGAACAATTTGATAAAGATCTAGCCGTGCTCTCTCATTTTCTTCCTTGTGATGGAGGAACAGAACCATAACATTAGTCAGCAGTTTCTGAATTTTGACCCACAATAGCAAAGATACCGAAAGACAGGAGAAATAGATGGAGGCAATTACAAACAGTCACTTGATTGATGGTTGACATTGTTAGAGCTTCAGCTGTATGTCAGGTTGCGGTGGTGCTGAATCCCCATCCCTGCCAGTGGGTGTTGCCATGGGCAACAGCGCACTGAAGCCAATAAAATGAGAGGAAATGAGGGGAGACTCAACCTTGGGGGGAGCTGTAGGGTATGCGCTATAAATTACGTTATACTTAGCAAGATGCAATATCAAAATTCAGGAAAGCTGTGTGTACCTGCCAGCAGCACTATGTCAGTTCCTAGTATCTGTTTCTCCCATAAAGTACGTCTTATAAGTTTTGTATGGCTTGCTGCTTACTATCCTGCATCTGTCTTTATTCAGGGAAGAAAGAAGTGGTAAAATAATAGCAGAAACATTTCCATTTGGTGCATGTTTTCACTGCTGTGCAGTCTGCATTTCTGCTCCTTCCCTGCTTCTTTCTGCTAGAGAAAGTGATGTGGTTCAGTTGCGTAATAACAGATTGGCTTGCAACAGTACTGAAATTTCCAGCTATTCTCCTAGACACATGATTAGTAGCACAGAGGGTTTTTGTTTTGTTGTGTTTTTTTTAAAGAAGTGATCAGCAGATTTGTTGTTTCTGTTTGATTGTCAGACAGATGTAGTCAGCTTTTCAAAGGCGCTAACGACTCACTTTCCTTAGAAAGGAGGAAAGCTCTTTTTAGCATCTGGTCAGCTGGGCCAGGTTCTGATTTCCATTAAGTTGGTGCCAGTTCAAGGTAATTCCACTGAAGTAAGTGGAGTTTGGCACAGGTGTAAAACTAAAAATTCAGCTGTATTTTCTGCTGCCAGACAACCCTATATTTAGAATCCCATTTTTCATGGAGTACAAAGGCTTTTTTTTCCCTATGAATGGGAACTTGTAAGCACTGCAACATGATCCCTCTTGTGTCCGGTCATGCAGCAGAGAAAGCACCCTCAAATCATAGATCACAGTTTCGCTACACTAGTGATCTTTGCACTAATGGAAAGAGACCAACTTTCAGGTAATACTGGTGTTATCACACAGAACTAGACACGATTGGTTTTGTTTGAATCATGTTTGATTAGATTTTTATGAACACCACCACCACGGACGTCTACATCTCAGCCTTGACTAGTGGTGCGCTAGCTGTAATAACAGCATCTCAAAATTGTACTGAAAGAACTGCAAGAGAAGTAAGAGGTAGTCAGTCCAGTATGATGATATTCTTCCTCTCCACCATTTCAAAATACTAATTTCAACTGGAAATTATACTAGAAAGGCTTATCCGTGGTCCACTTTTCAATGTAATATAAACCTGAAGCACAAGGCAACAGATTTCCTTTTTTATTTGTATTCTATTTTCATTAAAGCCCATTAATCTTTTCCTTAGGGGACACTCTAATTTAAAAAAAAATGAATGTGTTAAAAGAGCATTTTTTAAAAGAAAAAAACCCCCCACCTCTAAAATTACCATGCAATATTTTGCCTTTATGCAAACTTCCCCTTGCTGAGAAATTTACGGCATTGTTAATATGAATTTCTCAGGGAAGCAGGGATAGGTTGGTGTTTTTAAAGATAATAAAGTTTGTTTTTAAATGTAGCAAAGGTAGGCAATTCTAAAGGCCCTGATCAATCACTAAGAAGCTTTGTTGTAAAAAAATACTTCTTTAGAATACAAAGCAGGCTTTTCAGAACATTCAGGCATAAAAGAGGAGGGAAGAGTGAGAGAGGAACATCACAAAAGCAGGCATAATTGATTCATAACATGTACTGAAGAGATGCAAAACAACAATGTAATTACATACTAATTCTGTTTTCCTGCAGCTCCTTGCATATGAATTGACCAGCTTGCATCCCACTTCTGCTGTGTATTATTAATTTTATTAAGCTGTAAGTTCTTATATTTCAGTCTGTTGTCAGCTTTACAGATTTTTACAGCAGCAGTTGAAATGTAGTGGAGCTGAATGAATGCTTCTTGTGCTAAGTCTTCCGTGTCACTCCAGATACCAGCGCAATCTCACCGCAGGCCTTCCTTTCAGTCCCACTAAGCCTCCCAGTAAAAGCAAACTATGCTGCCATCAAGATAATATCCAGTCAATTAAGCATGTCTGTGAAAGCATTTCTTAAAAAAATGGTGGGCCTAAGCTTACGAAAGCCTTTTGGACAGCTCTTACCGTAAAGCGACACTGACGTTTGCAGGCTTAATTTATGTCTTTGAGAGACATGGTAAAGCTAGAGGAAAAGGAGGACAAGGATGCTGCCTGAGAAGGAAGTCTTTTTTGGTGCAGCTCCTCCCATTTACCTCTATTTACTGCCACGGAGTCCAGCATAGGCTTCAGTTTCACATTCAGCTTCACTAGACACTGGAAGAAGATGTTAAAAAAAAAGAGGGTGAGAGAAAAAATACTGAGAGCATTTCCACTCCTCTGATGGACAGTCCAGGGAGTAACAGGGTAAAAAGAGTTTAATATGCACCATGCCCCTACCCTCCTTGCCCCCAGCTGTAAACTCCTGTGTAGGTAAAGCTTGTTGTTCCCATTGAGATCTCTTTATCTTACTTGTTTTACCTGAGGCTTTAAGTAAGCCACCAAAAATGTCAAAAAAGCACATGAGGTAGCAGAATTGCTGCTCAACTAGTTTAGCTTTGTAATCCTTAAAGATAGTCCTTTTGAGCCATCCCCCAGGTGCCTGAGGCTATCTGGTTGCTGGCATCTATGAGCAGGAGGTCCACTGGTTGGATGACGAGTTGCACAAAGCTGAAATAACTTTCAGATTCTCCCTAGTGCTAGATTCTTGCTTCCTATAGATGAGTAAACCACAACAGTACTGTGCTTTCCAAAGCTGGCAAAAAATCCATTTCTCTGTGCTCAAAATAAAGAAAAAATGAGTTTTCTTTTTAGATTGCACGGCAATCACCTATTTTATACATACCCAATCCAAAGCTCACAGAAGCCAGTAAGAATCTTTTATCTGGTTTCAGCTGGCTTCGAATCAGCCCCAAAATTCTATAATCTCTGCACACCTTTGCTAGACGTTTATTTTACCTTCCCCTTTAGTATCAAATATTTATGCGGAAAGACCACAAGTGCTTCACTTCGTTTTGTCCCTACATTAAAGAGAGGCAGAACCTCATTAACAGCAGCAACCCGGGTGTGAAGAAAGGGTTAACCAGTTACCTCCAAAGCGGTCATGTAATGTGCTCTTTCAGGACAGAGGACTATTACTCTTTTGCAGCTTTTTTGATTAGCAAGAAGTGGGTTTTGCTGAGAGTTGGGTATCATGCTTTCTCTGATAGCATGGAAACTACGTATTTGTCATTTGAAATAAAGGGTTGGTGCAAGGAAAAAAAACGACAGAAGACAGCAAAAGTTCTTCTAACAGTGCAGAAAATTATTAAGGAAAAGAAAGGAAAGGGGACGCAGGTACCTTTACAGTTGATCATTTTCATTATTTGCTTTAAATAGCAGGGTTAACAGCAACCACTTTAAATGGTCCCCAGAGCTCAGACACCACTAAAGAACTGGATATTTTTATAGCTAGTCTGCAAGCCGTGGGAGCTTGGTTAGCTACTGAAGTAAGTCTTGGTAGATTTTAATTGTGCTATTATATGATAATTAAGGGTTAATGGCCTGATTTTAAGATGTGCTGAAAACTTGCAATTTCAGTTGTCTTCAGTAGGAAATATGAATGCTCAGCACTTCTGAAAAATCATGCCATGAGTAAGTAGCTGATCTGTGTGGAACTTGAAGCAAATCCGCTTGAAATTATTTCCTTAGAATATGGCACAGACTGGGCAGATAGTTTTGCAACCTTGGGCCTGGGGTAAGAGGCAGAGTTTACTGCAGTCTCTGCCACACATAGTATTGTGTGCTGGTGACATTTGATAGAACGGACGTGGATTTATAACATTTCCATCACCGTGCCTCAGAGCTCCCCATTTTAGCTCTTTATTTTAGACCATTGTGCATTCCTCAAACCTGGTTTGGCAGAGTCCAAAACAGAGGGGCAGTAATACATCACAAACACCTGAAAATACCTGAAAAGCTCACTGCTGTTATCATTAGCACCTGCGTTACCACTACCAACTCTGTGTCTAGAGGTAGCACATTAGATACGCAACTCGACAGCAACTTAGCAGATCCTTTCTGTGCAAAGCCAGCGTCCATCCACTGGCAGTTAAGCTTGCTGGTATTTCTTAAATCTCGAAAAAGTTTTCGTGAAGTATTTTTCCAATATACAATTTAGATTTAAAAACCAAAAATAATCAGTGTGTTTCAAATGTCTCTAAGCGCAAAGACGGCATTCCACATTCACACCCGGTCAGCCCCAGGATCTGTGAGCACAAAATGCAGCACAGTCTGTTCCCATCATAAATGCTATACCAGCAACCTATACCTGCTACAGGCAACGCAGAGGAGAAGGAGCTCATTGGGACAGTGGACTTTGTCTCAGTGTGGCTCTGCAGCTCTAGGCTATGTCTGTGTCCTTCCTGTACTTTTTTTTTTTGCCAAGACTGACCACAAGACTGTGATGTTTTCAATCCTAGTGCCAGGGAGCAAACGCAGAGGCCTGGGCATGACCTACTGCTGTGCCCATCCCTCCAGGCCTAGGCAGGTGCCACGCTTTTATGGTAGGAGACAGCCCCTCACGTACAGTGCCAGGAGGATTGTGAGTGCTCGAGCTGCTTAGATCAATCAGCTTTGCGTCTGCTACAGCAGAGACCAGAAGCCCAAGTAGATTGGGAATGGATTCAAGAAGCACCCACACAGTTCAACAGCAATCACTGTATCTTATGAGCTGTAAACACATTTTAAATCCAAAAGTAAAATACATATATTTCTAAGAAATATATACCTAAGTGCGTATTACAGAGTCTAATAACCCAGGTGCAACAGAGGTTACCAGGTAAATAACAAGAATGGTTAACTAATAACATTAACTTTGACAAAATAAATTGAGTATTTAAGAAAGAATAAACCATGTCTTTAATATTCAGTTTTACAATAGCACAAACAATTAATTCTATTGAAAGCTTATAAAATACATAGTGTAATTTTAAGAAACTTTATTTTGTTACACATTAGTTCAGATTAGGGATACTCGGCAGTGCAGATGGTGCACTTGGTCTATAAAATGTTTTTATTCAGACATTGATTTGATGTTTAAACAGTGCTTCTGTATTTAGTGTCCTTTCACTTTGGGACTCTTTCATTCCGATCTAGTCTTTTAATTAAACCAACTACTATAATTCCTATGGAAATTAGCTTTTATTTTATTTCTTCCAGCTACCAAAGCATTTCAGTAGGATTTTTCTGATACAAAGTACATAAATTGGATTTTATTTCTGCTTGAGCTGTAATTAAAAACTCATTTGATTACTGTATATCTGGCTCTGTTTTAATTATTAAACTCCAGTAATCAATTTTCTTTTATGAAGCTTCTGGGAAATTATCTCAAAAGCAACACATTTCTCTCCCTTCTGGCAGGCTCTCGACCATTTACTGAATTACATTCATAGCACCTGTTCCTGATCCGGATTAAACCACCAATTTATTCCCAAACCTATTTAAGTTTATTTGGCTGTAGCCTAGTCAGGGTTTTCTACCTCCTGGCTGCACTTTTTACTTTCCATTTTATTGCATGAAACCCCCTTGATGTACTGCTTCTCCAGGCCGCTATTTTTGATGCATGCCTCTTACGAACAGCTTTGCTAGTGATCTGTCTAATTTGGTATCCAGCTTCTTAACACTCAATTTATTATTTGCTTTAGTAGGAAGAGGCTTGGTCTTCAACAGCTGTCTGACATGGGACACCAGCACATAAAGTCATAGCTCCAGAAACGCCCTTTTTCCTCATCCCTCCTTGGTGCAGCAGGCGGGCTGTGAGCTGGCGGGCAGCCAGCTGGGCACGGGGAGAGGGTGAGGGAAGCCCTGCCTGGGGGAGTTCCAGTCTCTCCGCCTGGGACCTCGGTGCCCGCTTGCAGTCCTTCCACTGCAATGCAGCTGCCTTGCTACACGGCAGTAGGTACAGGATTGGTGACCCTTCCCATTTTATCCCCTTTGCTGTAAAAGCTGTTCTTAATCGCAGAGTGATAAAGCGTGCTGGAAGAGCGGTCATGCTGGTGGCCGTGTGCTCCGGCGTTAGGAAAAGCCAGATAGGTTTGCAGTTCCCTTCTGCATCCATGTATTACCTCAGATGTGTGACTAAGCTGTTTCTCAGAACGTTACTGTACAGCACTGACTTTTTCTTACCACCTTCAATAATGTAGGTATCTTTTGTTACTATGTACTGCTCTGTCCACAGCATACTTTTACAAGGTATAGCTCCTCTTACATCTAAGCTCCTCCAGTACAAGAAAAGGTTAAAGGCACTTCAGCAATACATTGTGTGCACCTGGGAGAGGGGCAGAGCTGCCTGAAGGGAGAGCTCAAAAGGGGGAGAGCGTGACATAGGAAGTTATTTATGGGAGAAGGGAGGGAGCAGAGAGTGTTTTTTCTAGGGTATAGAGATGTATTTCTTAGGTATATTTTGCTAGATAAAGCATAGAAAATGCAGAAATAGTAGAAGTAGCAACAAACCCCCTTCGGGGAGAGGGCGATGGGTAGCAGTGGAGGCATCTGCCTCCTGGGTTGAAGGGGGGTGGTGGGGGAGAGGACTTCATCTGCCACATCACCTTCATCTCTGGGAAAGGATGTTATCTGAAGCAGCCAAGATGCAGCACAGATGTGGCCAGAGTCTAAACTATTGCTAAAGCAAATACAACATTTTGTTGTATCCTAAGACTAATACCAAATCCTTTTAAGGAGGAGCACGATATGCCCTAACTTACAAACACTGCAGAACCTCCAGAGTATATACTTTTTTCTCTTTTTTTTTTTCCCCCCTGGAGAATATCATCCAAATATTGACCAGTTCTGACCTTGGGAGATTCTCATCCAAATATTGACCAGTTCTGACCTTGCTTAACTTATGAGCTTTGACAAGCTCACGGAAGTATGGTTGTGGGTCTAATATTTGTAAAGTGAGTTTATGGAGTAAGACCATATAAATTCATTTTTATGACTGAGCACATATCAAAAAGTTATAGGTCTCAGTGTTCACTCTACTTGGAACCCGGTGGTTTCTAATGAATCACTTTTATTATGTAGGCAGTTTCTGAGTTAGAAGGGAGGACTAGTGACCGAGAAGCCATAGGGATAAATTCAGACCTGGTGTAAGCATATGAAGCATTGCTGAAGTCAAGAGAGTCGTGACCAGTTACAACAAAGCTGAATTGGACTCCTGAGTTTTGCTGAAGTGGCTTTCACATGAGAATACATAGGCCAAAGGTGAGCCATCTGTCTGAAAGTCCTTGAACTTCAGA